CACTGCGCAGAGAAAACCCCCCTTCGGAGGGACCGCGGCACGCTGAATTCGCCCCTTCTCGGCATCGGAGCGGCACGACTTCGCTCTCACGGCTCGAAACCGGCATTCGCGCTGAATCGCTCCGGAGCGTTTGCACTCGCTGCCCGAGAAATCGCGCTTCTCCCCGGGTGCCGATTCCAGCGCTTAGCCGCGGTCTCGATGTTGTTCGCTCGCCGCGGAACAGCGACTGCCGGCGCATGCTTTTCCCCGAGTCGCGGGCTCTTCTCCGCGCATCGCAAAGGAGCGCTTTTGACTTCGCCCGGAGTACGTATATGCAGGACGCCCTTCGCCTGGCTCGGAATGCCGTGTCCGTGCCTCTCCTTTAAGCGACAGTTCGTCGCAGTGTGCTTCTCCGTGGCTCCACTTCTGCGTTCCGTGACGAACAGTGGCAGGGAGAACTTTCCCTAAAGAGGCAGCTGGACGTTCGTGGAGCGACAGATGTAGTGCTCTCAGGGAGCATATTACATTATAATATATATATAGCATACATATTATGTTGAGGAGAAGGTCACTAAGAACACTAATGAATGAGAGAAAAAAAACAACACTGGCATTTACTGTCAATGCAGTTCCTACTTCGATATTGATAGTGAAAGAAAGTGTATGATTTCCTAAGTCCTCTAATAAACTTTCCCGATACGGTGAAGTGAAACATACTCATCAGGTACTCATCTTCCACTTCAGAATCTTCAATTTAGCCTTGAGGATACCCCTTCTGGCTGAAGTTTCAGTAACGCTATAAAAAGGTGCTCTTTAAATCTCCATTTTCATTATGAAATGATGATTGAAAACTATTTTTTGAAAACTCCCCAAAGCCATGAAGAGTAGCGATCTCAAGATTACAGAGACAATAGACCTGAGAAATGAGTGTTATCAGGAGGATATAAAGGAAAACAAGTTCCCTACTCTTGCTTACCAACACGTGTTTTTTTTCCTATGCACTTCAGGTGCATAACTACAGGAAAACTGAAATGTGGTATTTCTGTGAGAAAATGACCTACTTGTTGGAGCAAAGGGGGAAATTCTGGGAAGGAATGTCTTCTATTTGAGAGCAACTGTCTTCTTTTTGGAGTGCAAACCGGTCCTTTGGGGAGAAAATAGGGTCTATATGGGAGAAAATGTCCTCTTCAGGAGTGTAAAGTAGTCCTTTTGAGAGAAAATGGAAGGTATTTCTCAGAAAACTGCAATTTCTGGGAGAAGACAGCATGCTTTGTTGGAAAAATGACATCTATTTGTGCGAAAGCTGGGATTTTGGGGAGAAAATGCCGCATTTTAAAAAATAAGCTGGTATTTCCGGGGGAATATGTCCCATCTTTGTTAGAAAACTGGAATATCTGTGATCAAATGTCATTTTGATGGGAGTGAACATGATATTGAGGAGTGTAAAGTAGTGCTCTTGGGATGAAATGTGAGGAATTTCTAAGGGTACTGGTATTCCTGGGAGAAAATGTCTTGTTTCTGAGAGAAAATGTCGTCGTACTTTGGGGGGAGAAACTGGTATTTCTGTGATAAAATGCCCTATTTCTGGGAATAAGTGTCCTATTGAGGAGTGTGAAGTCGTATTTTTGGTAGAAAATGGGAGGCGTTCCTAAGAGAACTGGTATTTCTGGGAGAAAATGTCTTATCTTGGGGGGGAAAGTTCCTATGTCTGTGAGAGAACTGTGTTTCCGGGAGAAACTGTCTTCTTTAGGCAGAAAAGATCACATATTTGCGAGAAAGCTGGTATTTCTGGGAGGAAATATCATGTTTTTGTTGGAAAATGTCACATTTGCTACTGTCATGTAGTATTTTGTGGAAGAAACATGAAGTATACCTAAGAAAACCTGTATTTCTGGTAGAAAACGTCATCCCTTTGGGGAGAAGACTGGTATTTCAGGGAGAAAAGATCCTTGTTTGGGGAGAAAGTGTCCTATTTTTGAGGGAAAAGTAGTACTTGTGGGAGAAAATGCCATGTATTTGGGTGAAGGGTGGGATTTCTGGGAGGAAATACCGTATGTTTGGAAGAAAGTGTCCTCTTTCAGGTTGGGGAAAACATGTATTTCTGGGAGATAATGTCTTTTTATTGGAGCAAGCCATTATTTCGGGGAGAGAAGGTCTTATTTTTGGAAGCAAATGCGGCACCTGGGGTGGGGGGGGGGGGGGAACTGGCATTTCTGGGAGAAAATGTCATGTTTTGGGGAGAAGATGTCACCTTGAGGATTGTCGTATTGTCATATTGTTTGGAGAAGGCCTGAGGTATTTCTAAGAAAAGTGGTATTCCCAGGAGACAGTATCATATTTTGGGGGAGTGGGGGAGGGGTCATCATCTATGTGGGAGAAAGCTGGTATTTCTGGGAGAAAACATCCTCTATTGAAGAGCCAAGGGGTATTTCTGGCAGGAAATGTCCCACATTTGGGAGTCAAGTGGCATTTCTGTGATAAATGCCGTATTGTTGGGAGTAAGTGTCATATGAAGGTGTGCAAAGTAGTCTACTAGGGAGGAAATTGGAGCTATTCCTTTGAAAGCTGGTATTTCAGGGAGAAAACGTCTTCTTTCTGGGGGGCAATGTCATCTGTTTGAGAGAATGCCGATAAGTCTGGAAGAAGATCTCTTTTTGGAGGAAACTGTAATATTAGGGAGAGAAAAGTGGTATTGCTGGTCCAAGATGTCATCAAGTTGGGATGACGCTGGTGTTTCTGGGAGAAAATATCCAAAATATTTTGGATGAAAATGTGGTCTTTAGGGTTGAAATGCGGTATTTTTGGGAGGAAATGGAATATGCATGAGAGAAAACTGTTCCTTTGGGGAGAATGTATCCTATTTTTGGCGGAAAATGTCCTATTGAACAGTTTAAGTCTGCATTTTTTGGAGAAAATGCAAGTTATTATCAAGGAAACTGGTATTTCTTGGAGATTATCACATATTTGGTTGGAAAACTAGAGTAATAAGGACAGAGAGTTTTGGCAAATGCAGAAGCAATCAAAGCACAGAAAGCAAAGCTTTGTAAGTGCTCCATAGTTTGTATCATATCTGATCATAAATTGATAATCATAAATTCAATAAAATATCTCCATGGCTTTACCTTCTCCAATCAAAATGGAAAGGACTCATAGCCCCTTACAGTGAGGATTATCTAGTTAGGTTTGATACACGATGTGCTCTGGAAAACTGTAGCAATTACAAACAGTACAAAAAGAAATTTGAGATAATTATAGCTGGCTAATACATTGTAGCTATGTAAAGAATGGAGGAGAGGCAGAATTCAGAAAGTTTTCAGAAATAGTTCAAAGACGTTCAAAAAGGTTTCTTGCTAGGCTTCAACCCTTGACAGAGCTACAGACCATTTCTATGTATGTTTTGTGATTTCTGGCAGGTCGTTTTCTCACTTCCACTCATAGAATCACTCAGGTTGGAAAAGACCTTAAAAATCGTCAAGTCCAACCATAACCTAACCACACTACTTTTACTCTAACAACCCTCTGCTAAATCATGTTCCTGAGCACCGCATCCAAACGGATTTTAAAACATCCAGGGATGGTGACTCAACCACCTCCCTGGGGAGCCCAGTCCAGTGCTTTTCTAACTTCAGCTCTGAGAAAAGGACAAAAATTCATTTGGGATTCTTACTACCTTGTACTGTAAATCTCTGAATTCTGTATGGATGGGGCCTTATAAATATTTCTATGATTAGTCAAAGCACAGTAAAGCATATACATATTTTTTCCTACAGGTTAAATACTGCTGATTAGCTGCTTACTTTTTAGACAGTTCTCTGTCCTTAGTATTTACACAAGTCTTTTTCTGACCTGCTGTAAGCCCGTTAGTCCAAACCAGATAAGGAGTCTAATTTTAGAGCTGGAGATAGTGTAACACTGTTACTAGTTGATACTTGCTATTTCATTGCATTCCAGGATTATGTAAGAAACAAAAGAACTGCCTCAGAGAAGGGAATGGCTTATTAATTATAATACAGTAGTGATCTTGTTTTTGGTGTTATTATTGCATATGTATATCTGCCTTTGCATTGTTAGTTCTAGAAGGTATTGTCTGTCTACAGGTATTGCTGACAGTTTTCTTCCCCATCATTCTGTATCTCTCATTGTCTTTTTCGTAGTTTCCACTGTGTGTTTTTTTTCTTGTTCTTCATTTCTTTTTTTTTCTTTTTTTTGTTTTTATTTTTGTTTGTCTATCTGCATGGCTGTTGCTTTAGTTTTTGTTTGTTTGTTGTTTTTTGTGTGTGTGTGTGTGGGGGGGGGGGGGTGGGCCAGGGGGTTTTGGGAGGGCTGAGTTGGTTGTTTAAGCTTGGTTGTTCTGTTTGTGTGTCTGCTTCCAAGTGACTTCAGTATACGTCCATCTCAGAAATCTGCTTGTATTATGATTTTTAATGCAAACATGAAAAATATTTACTACAGACACCTTTTTCACTGATATTCTGATACTTCACTCAACTAAGGAAACTTCATTATCCTTCAACAGGTCATCCACAAACTGATTAGTAGAGAAGAAGCCACTAGTAGTAACTAACAATAAAGAGGCCACGGCCACCTGAGGGAAACCTCATGGTGTTTTGTTTTGGCCAAGGAAAACCAGTTGATTATTTTCAGAACTTGCATCAATTAAAAAAATAAATAAATAAAAATGATAACTAGTAATAATAATTAAATAAAAGTACGAAAAGACCATTCAAGCTGCATGAAAATAAAATCATGGATTCTCACTACCACTGTTGCTGTATTTGTTTATAAAGCCAAGATCATGGCCTCAATCGACTGTGTAAAACTGCATCACTTGACATGCTGTCTTCCTCTAAAGAGGGATTAAAAACACATATGAAATCTTAGAATCCATTTGAAAATCAATTTTACATTATTTCCCTTAACTTCAATAATATAATGAAACCAAACTTTCAGCCCGTTAGTCCAAACCAGCTTTTTTCTTTTTTTCTTTTTTCCCCAAGACTATTTTTATGATTTTAAGGATCAAATAACATCTATAACAATTAGTTTTCCATAGATCATTTCTTCTTTTTTTCATAATTTTGCGTTCCCTTACTTTCTGGCTCTGAACTTTGCTTCTACAATGCCAAGGGATTCCAGCCACCACATGCATACAGCCAAGACATTTTAGTGTGAGTTAGATACTCAGGCATACACAACCTGTAACCCACATGCTACGTGTATCCCAACTCAACTTGCACCCCCTACAGCTGTATCTATCATGGCAGCAGCTCTACCCTGATGAGTGGCCAGGCCTAGCCCGGAGTCACAGCAAGGTTTGCAGAGCAGCACTGACAAATAAAGCAACAGAACTGAGAAAAGGCTGTCACCTTAAGGAAATATTTTAAACTAAGTCACATAGCAAAAGAATGTCATGACAGTGCTTTCTAATGGGATATAAGCGCCATAGCAGGTAACCATACAAGACCATATGACCATACCTAACAGGTAACCATACATAACCTACAAGAACCATAGCAGCAGGTAATGAAGAAAAATTAGCTCACCCCTTCCAGAAACTAGTAACAACTCAAAAGAAGGGCAAACTCAGAGAGATACTGCTCCCTCTGCTGCTAACACTTAAACAAAAGCACCTTTTCCAATCATTGCTTGCACCTCAGCTCCCTGGAATAGCCTTGACCTCTCAACTAATGTTCAATGATTGGTTCAGGCTGGGAAGGGATGGAGTGCAGCAGAGTTGCCAGGTCACAGCCTGAGCCAAAGATTGAGTAGGTCAGGGGTAAACTCCTGCTGTTTTGGAAACATGAAGTACAACGTGTATCGTGCGTGATGCAGGTACAGTACCTATCAATGATGTGATTGACAGGTGATTGTTGCAAGGTGATTGTTGACGGTCTTCTTATGGTTGTGTTGGAACAGTACTTGATGTTGCTTCTGGAGGCTTATCTTCTTCAGTTCAGGTTTGGGTTCACTGGTTCCCAGAACTTCAGCACTCCACCACCTGGTGTCATGACATACCCTCACAGACACTGAAGCACGCTGAAGTGTTGATGCTCCTACCAGTGGTCCTGTGGACTTCACAGCCTCAAGGGGAGTAGTACAGATGTTTACAAGGTATGAGGAGTGGTGGGCCTGCCTTCAGTGGTAGGATACAGGCTGTGTTTTTGTCTTGAGTCAAACACCTCCACTTGTGCTGGGGCATGTCCTGGCCTTTGGTACAACATCCTTTGTCCTGATATCTGGGGCAGGATCACTATATCCGGTACTACAGGGGGGTGGGGGTTCTAATTTGCCGTGTGGACATGTTTAATGTTCCCTTTGTGATGAAAATTGGAGTGCCAGCTACTATGTTTACTGGCTGTGTAGTGATAACCATAGGGTTTACCTCTAACAAATGCCTCCAAGGTGCAAGTAGATTATTAAGAGAAAGGAAAATTGGCTGTGACAAAACAAAAATTATTGTTGGACTATGGATCAAAGAAATAAATAAATCCCATTCTTGCAAAACCTGTTGCTGGTTGCATTGCACTCTTCTGGAAATCTGCACATAGAGCAGAAAAATGAAAATTTGTATAGAATTAAAATTGAGATTTTGAAGTAGTGAGTGAATGGTAATCAAAGAAATAAAGTGCAACTTTAGATTTTGTTGAATCCCAGGGAGCATACTCATGCAGGCAGTCCAGTTCACTAATGTAGCTGTCTTTTCATATGGTCCTAAACTTCTACATTAGATTCAGTTCTTGCTTGCCTGCTTGTAGTCATAACTCCAGAGAGATTTCCCTTTGGAATGTTAAAAATTGAGTTCTCCTGAATCAGCTTCCACAAAACAAATGTTCCTCACACAAACTTCCTCACACAAGGGTACTTTGTAAGAAGAAGAAGATGAAATACAAGGCCAAATATCTCCTGGCTCACTTAAATACTGTCCTTGCCCTGTAAGTTTTAGCAAGTCACTTAAATTAGTGGTTGTAACACAATGAAAAGCACGACAGTGATAGCAGAGTAGCAAGACCCCAGGCTGCAGTGAGTGAAAACTTGCTAAACAGAGCAGTCATGGAGACAGAAATAAGGAAAAAAAAAACCTGCTTATCCTTGGAAGGCCTCAGCTATGCAGGGATCTCCAGATGAGATACCCTCAGCTCCACTGCCAACACTTAAATGAGGTCTGGGAAGAGGAAGATCCTGTCAATACCCATACTGGTCATTCATGTGCACTGCATACACTTGAGCTCCCCTGGCTTGGCCCTGCCTTACTACTAGGTGCTCAATCACGGTTTCAAGCCCTGACTTAGCAAGCAAAATAAACAAAACTGAAGAAAACCTATGCATTTAAAATGGTTAGGATTTGACAAAGAAAAAATAGAAAATGTTCAAAAGTAGCATATCCAATTTTTGTTTCTTCAGAAACACGCTCATTTCAGGTAAAAGCTATTAGCTACTGCTACGTAAAGAAAATACAATTTATACTGTTCAGTGTTACAAAAAAGAACTAATTTTGAAAAGAGAACTAGTGCATTTCATGATGGCATAACTACATGAGCGGATGAGGAAAATGCTTGATGTCATCTATCTTAATGTCAGTAGAGACTTGGACGTAGTCCCCATCATATCCTTCTTTTCAAATTCAAAATGTGTGGATTTGAAAGGTGGACTGATGAACAAAGTTTAGTCTAGTCATACCTTGAGAGTGGTGGTCATGGGCTCAATGTCTGGCTAGAGAAAGTAACAAGTGGTGCTCCTCAGGGGTCAGTAGTGGGACCAATGCTCTTTAATATCTTCAGCAGTGACATTGACAGTGGGATCAAGTACATTCTCATCAAGTTTGTGGATGACAACAAGCTATGTGATAAGGTCAAGATGACTGAGGGATGGGATGCCACTCAGAGAGACTTAGACAGCTTTGTCAGTGGGACAAGGAGAAAGCTCATGAGGTTCAAAAAATCCAAGTGCAAGCTACTGCGCATGGGTAATGGCAACCAACCCCTTGTATCAGTACAAGTTGAAGGATGTAAGGACAGAGAACAGCCCTGCCACAATGGGCATAGGGATACTAGTAAATAGCAAGTGGACACGAACTAGTAGTGTGTACCCTCACAGCCCAGAAAGCCACTCCTGTCCTGGACTGCACCAAAAGAATGGTGGTCAGCAGGTCAAGGTAGATGATCCTGCCCCTCTGCTCTGCATTGGTGAGACCACATCTGGAGTACTGCATCCTGAATGCAACCCTAGCATACTGCTGACTGTCCCTGTTTTGTATGATCAGAAAAGTGTTACTATTGCCATGAAGTGACATATTACCTTTCATTAACCCTTACATTTCCTAGATGATTGTGTTTTTTCTCCTTTTGTGACATCCATTTGTCACACTCTCAGTTGGAGGACTGACAGGATTGAAATCTTACTTCTTCAGAAGTGATCTTACTTCTGTACAAGTTTAAAGCAACTATTTCTTCTTCCTGGTGATTATAGTGATAGTGAATTTTTCAACTGAAATGTAAAACTCGGGGTGTTATAGAATAAATAGAGTAGCTATGCTAAGCCAGTTTAAGTGACAACACTTTTTGGGAAGAGAGGATAAAGTTAAGGAATGAAGCAAGTCATTAATCTGAGCAAAAGTGGAAAAAAAAAAAAAATCAGGGAGGCAGAAAAATGAATAGATAGGGCACGCACAAATCAATAGCAGGACTGTCATTAAACTCAAAAGGAGGCAAGTTTTGTTCCCTAAAGAAGGACAGTTTTTGCAATGACCCTCATTGTCCACTTTGCATCATATCTCTTTGAAATTCTAGGCCCCTTTCTTCCATCTTGAATGCAGGCTTGCATATATGCAATACTGTGAAACAAGAACATTCTGCCTCTAAAACAATTTTGCTCACACTTCCACCTGCTCACCCTGCCACATCATCTGCCTCCTGGAGCAGCCCAGCCTGGCCAAGGGGTGGATGGGGCCAGGCTGAATGAATGCATGAATGAATGCATGAATGAATGAATGAATGGGGCCTTATAAATATTTCTATAATTAGTCAAAGCACAGTAATATTTTTCCCTACAGCTTAAATACTGCTGATTAGCTGCTTACTTTTTAGAAAGTTCTCTGTCCTTAGTATTTACACGAGTCTTTTTCTGACCTGCTTTAAGCCCGTTAGTCCAAACCAGCTTTTTTCTTTTTTTCTTTTTTCCCCAAGACTATTTTTATGATTTTCAAGGATCAAAGAACATCTGTAACAATTAGTTTTCCATAGATCATTTCTTCTTTTTTTCATAATTTTGCGTTCCCTTACTTTCTGGCTCTGAACTTTGCTTCTACAATGCCAAGGGATTCCAGCCACCACATGCATACAGCCAAGACATTTTAGTGTGAGTTAGATACTCAGGCATACACAACCTGTAACCCACATGCTACGTGTATCCCAACTCAACTTGCACCCCCTACAGCTGTATCTATCACGGCAGCAGCTCTACCCTGATGAGTGGCCAGGCCTAGCCCGGAGTCACAGCAAGGTTTGCAGAGCAGCACTGACAAATAAAGCAACAGAACTGAGAAAAGGCTGTCACCTTAAGGAAATATTTTAAACTAAGTCACATGGCAAAAGAATGTCATGACAGTGCTTTCTAATGGGATAGAAGCGCCATAGCAGGTAACCATACAAGACCATATGACCATACCTAACAGGTAACCCATACATAACCTACAAGAACCATAGCAGCAGGTAATGAAGAAAAATTAGCTCACCCCTTCCAGAAACTAGTAACAACTCAAAAGAAGAGCAAACTCAGAGAGATACTGCTCCCTCTGCTGCTAACACTTAAATAAAAGCACCTTTTCCAATCATTGCTTGCACCTCAGCTCCCTGGGATAGCATTGACCTCTCAACTAATGTTCAATCATTGGTTCAGGCTGTGAAGGGATGGAGTGCAGCAGAGTTGCTAGGTCACAGCCTGAACCAAAGATTGAGTAGGTCAGGGGTAAACTCCTGCTGTTTTGGAAACATGAAGTACAACGTGTATCGTGATGCCGGTACAGTACTTATCAATGATTTGATTGACAGGTGATTGTTGCAAGGTGATTGTTGGCGGTCTTCTTATGGTTGTGTTGGAACAGTACTTGATGTTGCTTCTGGAGGCTTATCTTCTTCAGTTCAGGTTTGGGTTCACTGGTTCCCAGAACTTCAGCACTCCACCACCTGGTGTCATGACATACCCTCACAGATACTGAAGCACACTGAAGTGTTGATGCTCCTACCAGTGGTCCTGTGGACTTCACAGCCTCAAGGGGAGTAGTACAGATGTTTACAAGGTATGAGGAGTGGTGGGCCTGCCTTCAGTGGTAGGATACAGGCTGTGTTTTTGTCTTGAGTCAAACACCTCCACTTGTGCTGGGGCATGTCCTGGCCTTTGGTACAACATCCTTTGTCCTGATATCTGGGGCAGGATCACTATATCCGGTACTACAGGGGGGTGGGGGTTCTAATTTGCCGTGTGGACATGTTTAATGTTCCCTTTGTGATGAAAATTGGAGTGCC